ACAATCTACTATCATGACAATGCTGGCACTGTTGTTTCCCACAGCTTTGCAGGATGTGTGCAACATTTTTACCCACTGGAGTAGCTTGTCCCACTCTGGCAAATCTGACTCAAAAACAGGGAAGTATGGTAAACTGCCAGTACTGACAGATGCTGCACCGTTATCTCTCACATAATGACTTTAGCCCCTTCCCCCTCCTTTTTTTCCATCTTTCTTCACTCACCCCACCCCCTGTTCTCCACAAATATAGTTAACTGCATGACCATCAGCCATGAATGGCTGTAAACAGCTGCCTCCTTTTTTGAGGGTTGCTTGTGAGAGCATGTAATTGAATTTGGCCCAGGGTGTACATGCACTCATTAAACCATTGTCAGTGCCTATTACAGCACATTCCATGGCAGTGCAGCTCAGGTAGAGAGTGCAAGTCCCAGGCATGAATTTAGAGAACTCAGAAAGAACTCTTGGTGAACTTGATTTCAAAATGTATTCCCTGCAAGTTTAATTTCTTAAGCAAAGTGTATGATTTTATAGAGATATAAATCAGGGTTTGTATTAATAAATCTAAGCTGAGCTGTAACAAAACACAGGATGAAGTATTTGTTTGGCTGGAGCAATTTTTTCAGGATTCAGTTGTTAGGGATCAGTGGGATCATATCTGCTATGCTGGGAGCTGATCCACTCTGGCATCAGATGCAGAATTCCAAAAATGCCCAATCAACGTGCCTAGGGGCGGTGTCGAAATCTTTCTGTTTTTTTTCTTAGCTGAACCATTTCTGATTGCAAACCAGAAAATGCTATCAACTCAACACAATCTCAAGCTCAGCATGTCAAAGCATTCCAGGACTACTTTGCTGTTGTGTGGGAAAGGTTTTTATAATAAATTAGTTCAGAGACGGTGGGGAAGAAAAAGCTTGAGATTCCTCAGAACCACAAAACAGACATAATGATTTCAGTGGCTTTCAGGTCCAGTATCCATCAGTTATTGTGACCAATCGTGTCACGCTGTGTCCATTGTTGTGGTCTGGGGACTCTCTGCTGTGACAGACCAATCATCAGTCATGCAATGAGTAGTAACAGCAAGGTATTCCTGTCTGTTCGAATTCCATATTAAAAATGGAAAAACAAAGAAAAGCTGAGATCTAATATGCAAGACTCAACAATGGACATCTCAGGCTATTTTCTATCATAATATAAACAATCCTTCAGATTTTTTTGATGATTTGTTAAACAGACAATGAGAGCAGAAAGCTAAAAAGGAAATCAAAGATTTTTGACCATTGGTACTGTTAAAAAGTTACAAGGCCTTCATACCAATCCTGCAGTAGATAACGCTTTTGGTAGCTTCTCCTTAGGATAAGTACAGATTAAATCCAGACAGAGGCTGAGGCAAATGGGTAGTCATAGGTGACATAGCCTGCTCACACCTTCAGTTGTATGCAGGTTTTTCTAACACAGTATGGCAAACAGATGATTATTTACATCCATATGGTGATCTGGATCATCAATAAAATTCAAAGGAGGGTTCCTTGGATTCAGGTGAACCTTTGGTAAAAAAAAATCATTAAAATCTCTTCATAACATTTCAGGTTTTTCTGAAAAGACACACACACACACACAAACTCTCCTAACACTCCTTGGCGGAGGTAATTTTAATGGATTTGACTTGTCTTGCCCTATATACGTATAATGATGTTATTTCTGAGCTTACTTGTTGGGCTTAGATGTAAAATATGGATAGTAGAAGATACATAAAAAGATTTTAAAACTCAGTGCATTTAATGACAAAGATAACAATCACACAAAAAGTTTTACATTTTTTTGCTTAACTTTCTCAATAAGAGTTTGTGTGAATTTCTTAAGATAGGAGAAATTTTAATTGTTTCTCGGCTTTTGTTTGAAATTTTTCCTGTTTTTTATTTTAATCTTTACCTGTCACTTATATTATTGTCCTCCTATGTGTTATAAACTTATATATTTTTTCCTCATTTATAGCTGCATTTCCTACTTTCTTGAGTCATATGATATTTTGTTTGTTTTTAATAATTTGAAGGGCCCTTGGCTGGTCTCTGTCTTGTCCCCTACAATTCCTTTTTAAACATCAATATTTGTGCTAAAATATTCTTTCTGTCATGAGTTATGGACATTAAGATCTGAAGAGAAGCCCCATCTGTTGGTCAGATCATGTAATTTAGTGAAAGGGTGGAGTCAGAGTAAAAAAATATGCATGCCCAGGAGAAGGAGGGCATTACTCCAGCGGCTGGAAGTTGGAGGGAATTCTGCAGGGAGTTGCAGGGAATTAAGCTGCCATTCAGCTGGCGTTTGACATGGAAGGGCAATTTGAATAGCTGCGACAGTATGCTAAAACAAATCTTCCAGCCAGGATGGAATGTCTGCCTCCCTGCTGAAGATGTTTGGAGATCAGCTAACCGGCTGATGGTGCCTGATGGGTGCCTACTTTTTTTTTTTTTTTAAGTCATTGTATTGACACACATTTCCATCTCTCTTAAAAATTTTAAATAAAAAAAAAATCAATACAGATGTACCTAATAATGATAATTACTGGGGAATAATGACTGTAGGCCCATAGCTCTCAACCTTGCAGAGGTTAAATGCCAAGAAAAACATACAATGTCTCTACTGAAAACGGATATCAACCCACTTATAGACCTTTACACTTTGCATATAGATTGAATGAAGGTTCTGATGAATTGATGAATCAGCCTCCCTAACTTGGCTTTAACATATCTAGATGATTCCAAGAGCTATGCCTAATTACAGTAGCAGCCATTCAAAATGGCGCTTCCCAGTCAAACGCCAGCCGAATGACAGCCAATGTCCAGCCACTGGAGTGACCCCCTCTTTCATATTTTCTTACTCTTACTCCACCCTTTCACTGAATTACCAGGTCTGACCAGAAGATGACACTTCTCTTTAGATCTTAATGTCCGCAAATCATGATAGAATGAATATTTTAGTACAAAGATTGATGTATTAAAAAAGAAATTTTAGGTGACCAGCCAATGACCAGCCAAGGACCCATCAAGGAAAATGGGGAAATTTTGAATGGCTACTACTGTACCTGCTGTTGATTTTGGCTCAGCTTTCAATACATTACCCATACATAACACCCAGAGATTCACAAAATGGATATCAACCCTCTCATGCTTGCATGCAGAAGATGAAAGTTAATAGCTCTATTTCTGACCCAGTCTGCACAGGTGGACCACATATCATTAATGCCTCAGTAATCTTCTCATTGTAGCCCACTCTAGAATAAAATAGAATTTAACTTTATTGTCATTACACTGTCACAAGAACAAAGCAACGAAATGAACTCTTTGCATTTAACCCATCCCTTTGGGGAGCAGTGGGCTGCCAATGTGCAGCACCTGGGGAGCAGAGTGGGGTTAAGGTTCTTGCTCAGGGAGCCAGTGTGCACGCTGTGGGGATCGAACCAAGTACTTGCAACCTTCTCACTGCTCTAACCACTAGGCCAACACCCATAACAACCCCTAATAACTGTTATATTGACAAACCAATCCTCAGCCTGTTATATAATGATAGCAAGTTTAAAGTGACCTAATTTGACAGTAACCACCTTGTTATAAACGTTGAACCACAGAAGAAAAAGATTTTTGGCCCGGATGCGGTTGGTGACCACAAGCACTGATCATTAACAGGTCGGCTTCTACAAGTACCCAGAGTTTTAGACAGACAATAATAATCTGGGTTCAGAATTACAGCAGAGGAATTACTGCCTCAGAGTGTAAAATATCCGGCCTTACCTCCCACCAGACAGGGTCTGAGAGCTGTGAAACTAGAACAAACCCCAGCAAAAGTTATTAGTGACAAATATCATCACTCTATAAAATGAATGCTAAAAATTGCACAAAAGAAACCTGTCTGGTCCAATCCTTGTTCTCCATTTGGAGTATGAGCTGCATGCTCTCATCAGACAAAGGATTCTGGAGAAATGTAAACTAAAATGAGAAAAAAAAAAAATGTTCCCCTTTAAAAACTGTAAATAAAAAAGCTAAAAAAAAAAAAGTGGGACGGCTGTTTTATTGATACTGTTCTAATTGTTGTTAAATACTTTATAATATACTTTTAATATCCGGGTTTCTCTCTAATTCTAGTCTTTTTTATCCTAAATTGCTGTTTACAGTTTATATATTTATTTCATTTTAAGAAATGTTGTGCCTTTTGGTGTTCACCTGAACTTATACAGCGACTTCCATTGTTTAAAGCAAAATTACCTTCAGGGTCTATAAAAGTATGCTGAACTGCACTGTTCACCTTCAAATGAAGACCTGTTGGCTCCCACATGTGTGTAAACAGCCTGACACCTAGTGGACGAATGGTGACAACACTACTGGATGCAAAGCGTAACCACACCCAGAAATCAACATGTGACAATTTCATTGATAAAAGGACTAGATCTATCTTCTTGATGTGGATAGGGGATCTGTTTTTGCTGTTTGTTCACTCACAGATACATTTTTTATTCACAGGCAGACAACAAGTGAAAGATGCAATGCTGAGGTAGCCCAACAGGTGGCAAAATCTGCACGGTTTACAATATGAGTTAAGCTTAATCCCTGAATTAGGCCTCTGTGGATAGACGTTTAAACAATTAAGGGCGCATGGATAAAAAAGGGAAGAAAAAAAAACACGAGCTGAGGATCAAGATTTAAGAAATAAATACAATTCATTCCAAACATGATAAAGATTATTTTAAACTGCAGTATGCAAGTAAGAATACAATCATTTAAACATCCAGATGTTTTATTGATTGTTTAAAGATGAAAATTCTGCTCTAAATGGAGGGACACTGTTCGGAATGAGCACTTAATTGTTTTCTTGTGACTTGAATGGGGGGCAAACAAAGGGGATGTGTGTATGAGAGGAAAAAGAGGGATTCTCCATCCTTCCTGGTGGGAGGTTTTTAGATGAGCTGCGCAGAGCCGTCCAAACAGACGCATCTTCCTGGCCTATCCCTCCTCCTCCTCCTCCTCCCCCTCTTCCTCCCTCCGCTCTGTCGGTCTCTCTCTTTTTTTTCCTCCTTTCCTGTCTGACACTAGTCCACCTGAAGGGGAAGCACAGAAACCGGAGAAGAAAATCCGACGCGTCCGCCGGGGTCCATCGGTGCGCGCAATGCTGCGCTAAAAGCCTGCCGCTATCCGGGGATGTAGAGAAGGGGACCGAGGCACCGCGCCGCGCCGTGTCCGCTCTGCCCAGCCCGCTGCACCGCTGAGCGGCCTGCGAGCCTCACAAGATGTCGACCAGAACGCCATTGCCCACAGTGAACGAGCGTGACACCGAGAATGTGAGTCCTTTTTTTTAAAGGGATAAAGCAGACAGGAGGCAGAACAAAGCTGTCCGGGATTAGGATGTTTCTTGTTTTTAGTATTCATTGGAGCGCGCTGTTAATGGCCTCTGGGAACTACAATGTAGCAGAGCGACAGCACCAATGATCGTCAAAGGTTAGGGGTTGATTCCTTCTCTGCTTTTGGGAGTAAAAGCATGAATCTCAAGTTAAGCAGACTAGAATAAAGGTGCAGCTCTGGATGTCCTAGTTTCTCCAGCACAATAGCCCTAAACAACGCACTGCGTCAATGGGGCTTTAACGCTGGAGCGCGTCCGTCCTTTGAGGGGTTCCTCCTGCTGCACCCTTGCAGCTTTGGGTATTTTCTGTTCCTCAACGTCAGGATGTGTCGGTAAACTGGGGTCGGAGGGGGGGGGGAGGTTGTTGCCCTACTTTTCAGTCGCAGTAGCATCGCAATGTGCCATCCATCACCCATTGGGCCCTGTTGTAACAGCACACTCAGAGAAAGAGGAGAGGAGGAGGGAGCGTTACAGACAGGCTTTTATTAAGAGACATCACTGAAATCACGAGAGACCTCTCATTGTGAAGGAATGTTTCTCTTCATCCTGATCACAATAGATCTTCTGAGATGATCTCACTTGAGGACATGAGCCATGTTTGCTGGCACAGGCTCATGGAGGCTCCTCTGATGTTCCCTGGACACTAAAGCTTCCCCCTTTACCACATTGCTGAAACAGACTCTGGAGGGTTTATTAAAAGGTCTGGGTGATTTAACTAGTTTTTTGAGGAGACTGGATTTATTGGGGATTTTTTCCCCTTTTGAATATCTCTTGTATTTGGTTAAGCTTAACCTGTCAGTGCAAATGTTGGGCTTGTCTGAAAAACTGTAAGTAAAACATGAAGGTGACTGACCCTTGAGGAGTGGACATGTTCTCTAAATCAAGCGTATTCACTAACAGGTAGAATGCCAAAATGAAAATATTAAGTCATCTCTTTTCTCCTCTTAAGGGTTTTATATCTTTTTTTTTTTTTTTTAGGTGTACTAAAGTGAACTATATGCATGATGAAACATTGTATTAAGCCCTGCAGTGTTCATATTTTATGAAATATGTGTTGTTTTCTGTTGGTATTTTTCCCATGCAGAAAAAAAGGCTTTGTTTCATTGTAAAGCCTCCATTCCCTTTGTGGGTGCCGCCCAATTTTATGGCTACTTGAAGGGCTAAAGAAAGCCTGAGTAGCCCGAAAAACACATTTTTGATATTTAGTTTTTGCCTAAAATTTATTTTACTTTTACTTCAACTTTATTTTTCCATGCAAACTGTTTGGGAACCAGCTCACTTACATACATGACCCGGCCAAGATGTTGCATGAATGAATAAAAAATGAACAGTGGTTGTCACTGTGCAGATTAGAAGCTAAAAGAGCCACTTCATCTTAGCATTAAGCAAAAAAATATAGTGTTTTACCTAGCAACGAGGTCTGCTTGTTGTTTACTGGACAGTTGCAAAGTCAGGGTACAGTAGATGCTTCCTAGAGGGGGCATGTAATCACTGTACTGCATAAAAAAGTGACAGCCGCTCTTCTTTTTTCCAAGATACAAAGGGTTTGCTTCTCAAAGAGTAGAATTCAGAAGGATTTCTAAAACATGTATGAATCAATTGAGATGCCACTTTGGAAGTGATTGTAATTGAAATATAGTATTATAACATAATTTAAAGCTATATAAAGTAGTTTTTATGCCTAATATTATGCACTTTTACTGCTGAGTTCTTACTTACTAATTTGCAGCCTAATTGACTGCAGACAGTTTTTACTGAAAACATCTTCAGTTATTTTTTCCTCAGTCACACTATCCTCACCACAGAGCATTGTTGTCAGAACTGTAAAGGCTTATATATTTTCACATGTTGGAAAAAGAAGTCAGCTATAGTCTAAGCTGAAAGAAAGTCAATGTCTGTCAACGGCTAACTTCCTGGTGCCTCTCAATTTCAGACCAGAGGCGTTTTGCTCATCAGGGAGTTGAAAACAAATAAGGAATGCATTTTCCTTCAGCAGCATAGGAACATAGCTTAACAAACTCTCCTTTACATGATTATATTTCCTCTCAGACCATTATTAGATGCATTGCTGAGCACAGTTAGGTTTCCATAATGCATCAGCTGCTAATGTAAATGTCTGGAAAAAGCTACTCCCACAGACATAGATTGCTAGGTGGCTATTAAAGCCTGGTCTCAGCATCACTGGAAAGAGTCAGCCAGGCTACTCTGCTCCTCTACGAGTCAAGCTCACAGCCTTGTAGGGCAAAATAGCAGCTAAACTGCATTGCATAAGACGCCATTACTTAGAGAGGTGAGTGGCTTTTAGGCGAGCAATAAAGAGGCATCTCTCCTCTCGTGTTCCTGTTTCTACGCATTTGCTTCTAGGCATGTGTGTGTTGCTTCTTTTGTACGACCTCTGTGAGGACAGAATGTCATTGGGCTGGGACAAGTGAGACAACATTTGTACAGTAATCAAACACGACAACTGTCACTTTATATGTATTGTTTACTTTATGTACGGGCTTTGTGGCCAAGTGTTTGTGTGAAGAGCGTAGACCTTCGCTGGCTTCTTTTCAAAAGTTTCGCCGTCTGTTTTATTTACAGCAAAACCGACAAATGAATGCCTGCCTCATAGGTCGGACTGTCTGGATGCAGGCTGGCTGAGGTGATGCACACACCCTGCAGGGTGTAGCGTTTCCCCAGTGAAACAGGAACACTGCAGCCTGGGTAACCCAACCACGCTTTATTCTCTGGTGGGGTTTGATGCTGAGGAGTGGAGGATCATGGGATCTTTGACCTGGACTGACATCAGCAGCTGTTGTAGAGGAGAGGAAGCTGACCAGAGGGGACTGCGCAAGGCCTGCACCAGTGCTGCATTCACAAACAACTGTTCTTCGTTCACCTTCAAATCATGTCATGAAAGGGAAACTTTGGCCTTGGAGATGCTAAAGTTGTTGGTTGTTGCTGCTTATTTTGAAAGCGTAGGCGTCTGTGATCTTCTGTTAAGACTTGCTTTGAGTGTGATAAAGGATTTTTTGGATTAAATAGATGGTACTTGATTTTCTTGAGTCTTTTCCTCCTTAACCAAGTCTTAACCAGTTAAGTTTGGGCCTATATACGACTCATATAATTTAGATTTCTTTTATAATTAGAAAACATTGAGAAATAAAGACTGCTGAGAATGCTGACAACAGATGCCAGTAGAGACTTATAGAATACATTTTTTCCATGTCTTTAAAATGCCTCCAGTATAACATTTTTTGAAATATTTCTTTTAAAAAAACAAAAGCTACATATAACCCAGAACATCAATCAATTCAATTCAGTTCAATTATGTTTATTTATATAGCGCCAATTCACAACACATGTCATCTCAAGGTACTTTACAATCAGTGCATGTTAAAATCAGTGACAGTTGCTGTAATCGCATACTGTAATGTATATTGAAATATCGAAAAACATTTTAAAATTAACATAACTGATATTGAATTAAATTATATTGTGATATACTGTGTATATTGATACTGAAATATTGTCCAGCCCAACATGAACAAGTTGCATTAGCGGTTCTACCATCATATAAACAACATATTTAACTGCAAATAAAATCTGCAAATGTTTCCAAATCTTGTAATTTTGTTAAAGGTGTTTGCTTTGCGGAACATTCATCTTTGAAATGACGTCATGTCTGACACTCATTGCTGATTCTAAATGGTGCTTTGACTCCTAGTTTTAGTGACCACAAAAAAAGAGAGACGTTTTAGTGATAAAGCAAATAATCAGATTAATGGATTATTTAAATAATTGTCAACTAATTTAGTAATCGATTTATCATTAACTGGAGTATAGAGACTCTAAAACATGCCTTTAGCAGACAGTGCAACCCTCTTGGAGCAGCAATTGTACCAAAATCTTCAAAAAAATATGTAAATATTTTGCATTTAAGATAAAAAAAAAAAAATACTTGCTAACTAAACAAAATACAATGCTAACAGTTTTCCTTTTCCAGTGTTGATGTGTTGTAGCCTTTTACTAGAGTGAAGTGTTTATTCAAAGTTAAAGTATTTCTGTGGGCGGACATGTTGTCAAAACATCTAAATGTGCTTGAAAATAAAACTACAGATTTTTGACAGTCATCATTTCAGAACAGTGAAGAGACCTCAAACAAGCAGTGAGGGACGATTAAAGGCTAATCTTAAAAAAAAAAGGATCTGTGGACTCCAACAAAGTGTTCAAAGTTGCTACTCTAAGTACTTGCCAAACTGACTACACAGTTTACCATTTATGTTCCAGATGTTAGATGGGGTGTACTCTGGAGTCAATACTTACATGTTTTGATGTAAAGCAGAACAGAATATTAAATGGGGTCAAACCTATCAGCACAGCATTTCCCAAATCATCACTGTCAATGCTCTTAAATAGTTGAATTGTTTTTTTCTTCTTAGTAACTTTGTTTCCAGCTATGACAAGAACTACTTTTATTAAACACATTTAACTGGTCTGTGGTGATTACAGGGACTAGTATACTTTAATGTAAGCTTCTTTAAACCAAAGTTGCAGGGAGGGATTGTGGATTTTGTTCATCCTGCTGTTTGCCTTCCTTGCAGCACTCGTCGGTGGACGGCTTCGTTGAGCCCCCAGCTCCCCCTACAAAGTCTGCGAGTCGTCACAGCCTGCCGCGATGTCGCAGCTCTTTCACGTCCACAGACGAGCAGCCTCATATCGGCAACTACCGCCTTCTTAAGACCATTGGAAAGGGGAACTTTGCCAAAGTTAAGCTAGCAAGGCACGTCCTTACTGGAAGAGAGGTGAGCAAATTTTACACACATTGTTACATGCATATGTCCCTGACTGCTTTATTGCTCCAAGTAGTGATTTAACATTTCAATCTGTGCTGTTTTCGTTTTCTAATATACTCAGGGTATCATAGCAAACATCAAAGCGCAGTCTTTTATATGTGGCTCTCCCGTTAAAATTCAGTTATTGAGGTGAAAAGCTTGAAACTCCTTCCTCTGTTATTAAATGTGAATGCAACAACTTGTTGCTTTGGAAGATCTCATTGCAAATATCACGTATTTATTCCTCAATAAGGAAACAATTAGATTAATCATGATTAATTGATTATTCAAATAATTATCAACTAATTTAGTCACTGATTAATTGTGAACTGGAGTGTCGAGACTGACAGCCTTTACCTGACAGAGCAATCCACCTTGAGCAGCAATTATACCCAAATTGTAAAAATGATGTAAACATTTTGCATCAAAGATAAAAAAAAAATTCAAAAATTCCATCTTTCAATATGCTCTATCCAGAACTTCTCATGTGGAAACGTTTTTAGTTTCACCTGGGTTAATTTCGTTCTTCTTTAAGGAACCTTTGGCTATTGGATAATTAATCAAAAAAATTATCGACAGATTAAACCATCCATCCATTTTCTGTCACGCTTAGCAGTGTCGTAAAGGGTGCTGGTGCCTATCTCCAGCTGTCAATGGGCGAGAGGCGGGTACACCCTGGACAGGTCGCCAGTCCATCGCAGGGCAGAACAGAGACAAACAGGACAAACAACCATTCACACACACACTCACACCTAAGTAGAATTTTAGAGAAACCATTTAACCTAATAGTCATGTTTTTGGACTGTGGGAGATAGCCGGAGTACCCGGAGAGAACCCACGCATGCTCAGGGAGAACATGCAAACTCCATGCAGAAAGAGCCGGGCCAGGAATCAAACCCAGATCTTCTTGCTGCAAGGCAGCAGTGCTACCCACTGCACCACTGAACAGCCCACAGATTAATTGATTTGCAAAATAAGAAATAGTAATAGCTGCAGCCATATTTGAACAAACATTGCTACACCAGGAGAATAGTATTAAGGAGCTTCAGACAGCTTTGTCACAGCTTTGGTTGGAAAATGCTCTTTTCTTGCAAAGTCTCAATAAAGGTGATGTCTAGAAACGGCAGAGGCTTAAGAGTTTCCAAAGCTTCCTCTCTGATAAATGCTCCCGATAGTTTACTGGGGCCCTATTTCACAGAAGCTGAATTCAGAAATCTAAGGTTAAGAGATAAAGCCAGACACAACTTAGCGTGATCAGTGCATCCTGGCTTCCATTAGAAAAACTTCAAGCTAGGCTCCACAGTTGAGGCTACTTCAAGCCAGGTGTAAGTGAAAAAGTTAAATGCAGGTCTGCAGTTTGTTTCTCGAGACAATTAGGTTGGTCACAGATTAAATGATCCGGTAAACAAAATAAGATAGACTAAATGCCTAAAAGGCCTAAATTAGGCATTCCCTAACCACTTCTCTTCACTGAAAATGCAATCATTTTAGGAATTACTTGTCTTTTTTCTCAAATGAACAACTATTAACTTAAAATGAACAGTGCAAGCCAATATGCTAACATGCTGATGTCTGCCCTGTCATTTGGGTGCTTCTATGGTGCAGTGGAATAAAACCCTACATTTAGTGCAGGATGGTGGAATCAAATCCTGAAGACTTTATAAAACTATTTAAATGCAAAAGACTTCATGAAGCTGCAAATATGATTTTTTTAATTTTTATTATTTATATTACAACATTCTGTTATTCCCGGGATTATATCTTACCAGAATATCAGGGAATCCTGTATCAAAAAATGAAAATAATGTTTCCCCCTCTTTCAACATTTCTTTTGTGATCTGCTGCCTTGATGTTACGTGTAATACTCTAGAATCCCTTCTTTGAAGTAGTTTAAGTTTATTTTGCACAAAAGATTACATCAAATACCAGTGAAAATAAAATAAAATACAGTGCAGGGAGAGGCAGAAAGCCAGTTTGGCTTATATAAAGCCTCCACCCAAAGCAATGAAAACCTGTTTGAATTAAAACTAATGTTAAATACAGTGGTAATAAAACAATAACCAACAGACGAAAGGATATACACACATACATCTACATACTCTGTACATCCATGCATAAAAACATATCAGAAGCATCCATGTCATGATGTGGTGCTGTCCTGTTCAACCCTTTATTAAATACATTTTTAAAGAAATTAAAAATATTCTACCTTAACTATTCCAAAGTAGTACACCCTGAATCGAATAAAGAAGGGCCCTCGACGATATTTGGGAGGATGGAGAGCCCTTGACTGGCGTGTATCATACAAATGACATATTAATTTGCTTTGAAGTTACCGTTAAACTGTTTGGGGATTTTCATTCAGTAGAAATCATCTTGTAAATGAAAACGCATATTTAAAAAACTTTTATTGCAAAAATTGTCAGAATCTAAGATTTGAAATAAACATGCAGAGGATAGGCATGGTACTAAATAAGATGCTATTCTGGATAAGTAAAATCTTGTAGAGGGGTAAACACTCGCATACACTTATGTTGCAGTATGTGAGGCAAGTTTACACAAGCTCTAATATTACAGTAAGTGAAAATACACTTTGAAGTAACAAGATGTCTAACTCTTATAATACCGATGGATTTGTTGCTTTTCCTACTAACAAAATCAACCTTTTCTTTCCAACTTAAACATTCATCAATGAGAACTCCCAGGAATTCTCTAGAAGATACTTCTGGTAACTTAGCAGATTCGATTTGATAGGAGTTAAATTTTTATCCTATGACATTCTGCCCCTAAAAATAATACAATTTAGATTTTTCTAGTATTTGAAGATGCTATGTATACTTTAAACCATACAGCATAGCTAGCTGACCCAGCATCTGCAAACATAATTGATGAAAGCAAATGTGTAACATTAGGCAAGTCATTTATATAAATAATGAACAACAGTGGTCCTAGAATGGACCCCTGTGGAACTCCACATTGTAATTTAGCTCTGCTTGAAAAGTAACCCTTAAAGGAATAGTACACCCAAAACATGATTAGCCTTCATTTTCTACTCACCCCCATGCTGAACAACACCCTGGAGTACTTTTTTGATATCTCAAATGCATCTGGAGATCTGGGAGGCTTCTTGCTGTCTGCTGACATTCAAATAATGGAGGTCTATGCCCGCACATGCGCGATCACGACACTACGGAAGCCGGCAGACCAAACCAGAT